GGGGTCGTTTGATCGAATTGCACTGAAAGAAGTCTGATGAGGAAATGTGGGGATTTCCGAAATAGTTATCACTTCTACCATTTTTTCAAAATTTTTGTTGCTTTTCCACAATAAGTTTTCATTAAAAACAGCCTCATTGTTGAATGTAATATTTCAATACATTTTTGTGAAATCCTTTTTATCAACTAAAATTTTCTAATTTTTAAAGATTATTCAACTGATCTATCTTATCTTGGCATTGCACTTTTGTTTTAGAAACGTGGTTCCTATTTTATTGCTAAATGGGAAGGATTAAAAAGGATGTAACCATTTTTGGCACTTTTATTTTTCTATTTGACACATTTTGGCACTTAACTTTACAATGGACTTTATTTCGACTATCACTACGTGCCATTTACTTTAATGCTATATTAAGATAGTTTAAAAGGTTAAATAACATCAAGTTAGGGAACTTCATATCTTTCTTAAGCGAATCTTTAAATCAATACATAACTTTTCTTTTAAGTTCTTATTGTAATAAAGGCGTGTTGTTGGTTTCTTTAAACTATAATTTTATTATTCATTAGGTTTATTTTTTTAAACACCTCTACTCTTTCTTGTTTAATAATAGGACTAACCTTGAAGCTATCATAGAAGGTCGAATTTTCGTTTGCAATGAGTGTTGTTGATATTTCGGGTATAAAGGCATTAAATTTGTGCGTTCCTGGAATATATTGTGTCTTTGCGAATCTACATATATTTAAGGATTTGCTTACTTTCTTTGTAGTCACCAAGTCACGTAATTATTCTTACCCCATTTGTAGAGGGTCTCGGGTGTAAGAATTTGTTGTGACGTCGGGAGCTGAGGACTTGCTCTAGCTGATAGTCTCTTAAAATTTCCTCCAATCCCGTCGGGTGCAGATTTGCCATGTTAACTTGCAGCACAGTTCAATTTTGCCATTTGTTTGAAAGGATTTTCGTGATTTCAGACCTTAAGTAAAGTCAATATGATTTATTCATATTGTTTTTGTTTTTAACACACCTTTCCTCTTTCAAAAATATACAATTTGCCAAAATTTCATCTACGACGATCTAGAGTGCATACGCCTTCATAGCCCATTACGCCAATTTGGGTACTTAAAGTTGACATTAAAGGCAATGTTTTTATGTAAAAAAAAAATATTAAAAATGCTATAATCAAAAAAAAAAATCAAAAAGAAAAATGTTTACACTTGTAGGCTGGTGTGATCTGTTATTTAATGGTGCAAATACAACACTTATTCCACCTTCGTTGCCCAACGTTTCGCTGAAATTTCCAGCATCGTCAGGGGCCACTATGTTTATTAAATCCAACAAAGAAATACAACGAAAAAACAAAAGATGTTCAAATGAATAATAAAAGTTGGCATACATGTGTTTGTAAAAACAAAGACAACAATTATGGACTAATACAAAGAACATATACTCACAATAATATTAAACATTTACTTTAAACTTAATATTAATACATATACACATAATCAGTACCATTCTCTATGGTAGTCTTGTCATTACTAAATTGTTTATTTTGATATGCATAACATGTAGGCGGCCGCGATGTTGTCCGTATCTTCTTTTTTGTTGATCGTATTCTCCCTTTTTTCTAATATTCTTAAGCTTTCCAAAGTGTATCTCGTCATTTCCCTCTTTTCCTCGTCAATAATCCTAGTGTTAGTGAAATCAGCTGTGTGGCCGCTGTTTAATATGTGCTGTGATAGGGCTGTGCTGTGTTTTTGTTTCCTTATATCTGTTTGATGTTCGGCTATGCGAACACCTAATGCGCGTTTTGTTGTCCCTATGTACACTTTACCACAGTTTTCGTTCTCTTTGCCCTTACATTTTATTTCATAAACAACGTTGTTTTGTTGCTGTTTGTCTAGTGGGCTTTTTTGTTCTTGTGTAGATTCTAGCTAACGTGTTATTTGTTTTGTAGGCGAGAGTTATGTTTTGTTCCTTTAATGTGCTGCGATCAAAGTTTTCGCTTAGCTTGGGGATGTAAGTGACGCTGTAGTACTTCTTTGGTGTATTTGCTGTTGCTGTGGTCGGCGTTTTATTTTGCTGATTTCCTATTCGCATTGTTTCTTGTTTTATTAGTTCGCGTATCAGGTGATTGGGATAATTGTTGCTTTTCAAAATGCTGTGTATTTTCTCTATGTTGGCTTCGTGAAATTTTTGGTCGCTTATCGTCAGTATTTTGTGTATAAGATTTTTCGCGGTGTTGATTTTATATTTTCTTGGTTGGGAGGAGAGATAATTAATCAGGCGTCCAGACGACGTTGGTTTCGAGTACCAGTTTAGAACAATATTGTTGTTGTTTTTGTGTATACGGACATCAAGGAAAGGTATGCTCGCGTTTTCTTCCATTTCCATGGTAAACTGAAGTTTTGGGTGGTATTTGTTTAGCGTCTCTAGAATTGTATTCACGTCGTTGCGGTTTGTTATTGCAAAAATATCGTCTACATATTTGTTGATAAACTTGATGTCAATGTTGAAGTGTTGTTTCAGCTCCGAGATGGTGTTGTCCAGAAGGTCGTCCATAATGATGTCGGCAATTGTCGGTGAGAGGGGGTTGCCCATTGGCATTCCAAATGTTTGGGTGTATAGTTTGTTATTGCACATGAAGTAGTTATTATCTTTAAGGCAGAAGTCAAGAATTTGTTGGAATTTGTGTTTTGGAATGCTGGTTGTCCGTTGTATCTGGTCCCACTTTATCATAATAATTTTTGTGGCTAACATTGTCGGTATATTCGTAAACAAGGAGATGACATCGAACGACACTAAAACATCTTCATCACATACACTTATATTCGTTAATCTCTCTTTCAAATTAAACGCATTCTTCACATTGTATCTCTCTGAAATCAATGGCTTGAGTATTTCTCCGACATATTTGGATAACTTGTAACAGGGGACCTTGACTGACGAAGCAATGGGGCGTAAATGAACTTGCGGTTTGTGAATTTTCGGCAGGCCATATAGCCTTGGCGCTGCAGCTGCGGTGCTGGTGAGAAGCTGCTTTTCCCTTTTGTTTATGTGTTTGGCTTTGTAGAGCTCATCAACTATTTTATTGTTTTTTCTCTGCAGAGTGCTCGTTGGGTCTGTTCTTGAAGTTTTGTATGTGTTTTTGTCTTCTAGTAATTTGTTTATCTTTTCAATGTATTCCGATTCGTACATTGCTACTGTCTTATTGCCTTTGTCAGCATCTGTTATAACAATGTTTTTGTGGGATCTCAGAAACGCCTTTGTTTGGTTAAATGCAGCTAAAATGAATTTTTCGGCAGAGTTGTGTTTAATATTCCGCTTG